TTTCTTTTCTTGAGGAGTGTTTCTTTAGTTGTGGTAAGGTGTGCAGTAAGTTTGCTTTAAATCTAAATGGGATAAAATATGTGTGATATTAAAGTTTTAACCTTCTTGTTGCATTCACTGTTTGTTGATAAGATTAACTTGTTCTTGGTTTCTGTGTGAGAGTTTTTATAATTAAATCTACATCATAATTAAAATAATGATGTATAATCAAGGGCAAATCAAGGATTAAATAAAGTATTTAGTGCACATATACTTGTCTCTCAGAAACTCAACCAACACTACTTTGGATTTACAAAATAAAGTGATAGTACAAAGTGAAGTACAATAAACTGGGTACCTACGGTTTGAGCTACAATTTAATATCATTACCTGATTACTATTTTTGCTTCGTTTTATCAGTTGAAATAAAAGTTAATGAATGATCGCCTAAATGTATCACAAATCATTCATAACATTGAATAAAAATCTGATTATGAACAATGTCTATTTCTTATCTCCAGTAAGATCATACAGTAAAACGTGTTGTTGAATAAATTCTCACTTAGTCATTCTGTTATTGAAGTAGAAGGCCTAGAAGTTGATCTTTAGCACCCAGCTGCAACCCGCAATACTGTTATGGATTTTTATCCATGTTTATTTTTGGAGTAAAGCTATTTGTACACAATATGCAATCTTTACTGTCACAATTCCACAAATCAGTGACTCATCTGTTAAAACATTTGTGCTTATGATTCTAAACTGAGAGTAGAAATGATCTCCCAAATAACATAGTTTTAATTGTTGCTCATTGATTGTTAAGCGCATCTGTGCTTGTTTGTTGCAATGGTTACCTTTAAGACATAATGACCTATTTAAGAATAATATGAGGCTTGGCTTGATAGCATTTATTAATAGACATTTTTCCTCCTTCCCTGTTCAACAAAAATTGGGCTGTCACCACAAATTCAGGACACAAATTCGTACTATGGTTAATTATTAGAATCAGGAACTCATGAAGGAAAGGAAAATATCGGGAAAATCATCTTGGATTACAGTTACAGGAGTAAAAACATTAGACCCACCTGCGTAAATGATGCTTTGCCCATGAAGAAGTTTTGATTGTGGCATTCATAACACTTTACAAACACTGACAAATTTCCTTTTACTTACTTTGTTCATTTACAACATGGTGATTACGTTTAACAGTTATCTGTCGCGCTCTCTCATGATATTTCCATTGGTAAAATCACGTGGCTGGCTAGCACATGCACTGGTGTTTGAAAAGTTGAACTTTTCTCAGGATTTCAACACAAGCACTGCAAGTGAAGCAACCAATGTCATGTTCAGTTTATTATATGAGTGCTGGAACTGTAGATGTGTAAATCCTGCACTGGGTGTGCTTTGACTGGAAGCCAGGAATGATTGGGTTGGGTGAAAGCCAACTTAATGGTGGAGTAATGAATAGGTTGAGCCTGCACACAGCTTTAAACCTGTTATTACTCTAAGTAGGCTAATGCTGTGCAATAATTGCTGACCTAAATACATAAGAGAAACAATTATTATCCACATCCCATTGTCATCATTGCTGCCAGGACATTTCATGTTATTTCTATCAAAGCTATTGTTTATTCTGATAAATTACAAAGATTATGTGATGATTATGATTACTATGTGATTAATATTAGTTTCATTTCTCAGTAAATGAAAGTGAAAGAATGAAAGGAGGAATGTACCCAAAAGGAGCTGCGGAACCTGCACAAGGCCCACATTTTTGTTTTTTACTTATGGTATCTTGAATACTTGGACGAGTGACAAAACGTTTCTCCCACTGAAGACGCTACATCCAGATGAACAGAATCAGCTTTTGGGCATTTACTTACCTGGATGATTAAGCATGCATCAGGACGTTTCATGG